CATGCCGAATCGTTATTACTGGGAATAATCCCAACATGCGCTATATGTCAAGGACACAGCGCATTGACATCTCCTGGCTCAACGAGCGTTTCAATGATGGTATTTTTCGGTTCGCTGCATGCCCGTCGCACTATCAAGGTGCGGACATTTTCACTAAGGCTTGCATCGACAAGGTCGTATGGAACCGAAATTTGCATACCCTTGGTATGTTCCTGCCGGGATACCTGCAGGAATATTTGTCCCAACCCACCCAACCCTGTATTAAGCCCCCTGCCGCTCCTGGGCTGCCCCCACTTAGGGGGGTACGCATGGAATCAGGTGCAAAATCCGGTTTCAATCGGCTCATAGAGAGGTTACTCTCTGAGTACGAGGGAATCGTGATCGACGAGGAAAAAGGAGGGAAAAGATGTGAGAAAACCATTGTCGCGGATCAGGCGTTAGCCAATGCTCTCGCGTATAGTGAGTTTTGCAGGGTGGTTACGCTTCAAGTTGCTCCTGGGTACAGGAATCACATTGTTCGTTCTGGTAGGGTTGAAGGCGATAGCCTTTGTTACGTTGTTCTTGCTCTTAATGATCTTGCACCCGATAGGGTTGATTCCAGGACTGGGAAGTGGGGACAGACCAGAAAGCTTAGGGATAGGACCGAGAGTGCCGTTAGGCAAAGGTTCAATATAGCTTGTGATGCTCGGACGTGCGGATGTACTCCTATCATTCTCTACCGACCTCAATGTAATATTGTGAGGGAAGGCGAGGTAGAAGGAATCGCTACTACGCATGGATTCGACTGCAGGTCTGTTTGCGCATGTCAGTGTGGTCTCAAGAGACATGGTGTCGTATTCAGGTGTTTCTCTTCTAAGTCATTCAATTCGATTTGGAGCACTTGCAAGATGCGAGGAGGGGATACCCTCTCTCAGCATGACCGGTCACTTGCCGTTAGGAAGTGGTTGAATAACTTCATTGAGGCTAGAGATAAGTCAGGAGATGCGAGCATCCGGGCTAGCGCCTCCTGAGGCTAGGACTAGCGGCCACGATCGCTGGGCGTGAGACTGCTCAGGCAATGATGAAGATGCTCACGAGCGACTTCGATGGATTGGTCATCAACTCGAAGAGGGCCTCGGATTTGTTCGAGGATCGGGTGCTGAAGGAAACCGGGCGTCAGCCTGGAAATTGGGTGAACATAGATCAGGTCGTATGGTTCCTGAAGGAGATTGTGGGGATGGAGAACGCGGAGAAGAATTGGGCGTTCTTCAACCCGGCAATCAAGGCTCTCCCGGCCGGGCAGGTTGAGGTCATGGTAATGGCCATGTATGACGAGTCCGGAGTCCTCCTCAAGGACTTCACCAGGTTGGTGTCCGTTAGGTTCACGCGGATCGGACGGGACACGACCTTTCAGGCTGTGCGGCGCATGTACACCGAGGCGGATGCTCCTGGTGGCTCTCTAATGTGTGAGATGCCATGGAATGAGCTTCCTATGGTGGGGTACGTCGTCATGAAGTTTCAAGACTTCCGGAAGGCGGTCCAGCTCCAAAGGATGAGGCGGAATGGAAAGGCCATGATCGAGATATTGATCACGAGGCCTGATGAGTACGAATCAATTGGAGATGGGAGGCCGGATGAGGGCTTGGTGCCGATTACGGCGACTTTGCGCCCTGATGCTGAGGTATCGCCTTCGTGGTACGTCAGGGACAGGCTACGGAACTACTCAGGTAGGTACGTGGTGGTCATGGTGGATCTTCGGGTGCACTGGTCGTTGGTTGGGCCCGTGTTTCTGACCAGGAGAAAGACTCTTGCCGTTCGGGACGAGATCCAGATGGGTACGTGGAAGGCTGCGTACATGTTCGATGATTACACGATAGTGTATCATCGCGTTTGGGAATATGGTGACTTCACTCCCGATAGGGGAAATCACAGGCGGACGCGTGAGGGCGTCAGGCTGAGCGTGACTAGCACCTTCTGTTTGAGGTGCGCGGAGCTCACGCCATCTGGGATGCATTTGTGCCCCGGTTGTGCGCTCCCGGTCTTTTATCCGAACTTCATCCCCAACGCGGACGTGGAGGACTTCGTTAGGAGCCAAATCGTCCCGGACTGGGTGAGGAGCACGGGACAGTTTAGTCCCCGGAGGATCGCTTCCGATGTGGTCGGGGTCATCAAGAGGAACCTGATTTCCTATTCGATGGCATCCGACCTGAGGCTGACGGTGCAGAGTGGGATCAGGCTGCCTCCTTATCTCGGTGAAGACAAGGGTGGCGTTGACGCGGCGTGGGATGAATTGGCAAAGGTGCTTTTCCAGTCCTCCTACGTGTCGGGCATCTCGGCCTCGGACGCATTCGTGGAGAAGTGGGTGGCGAAGCATCTGATCAAGACCGACCAAATCGATAGATTTGAGTCGGTGACGGATTACTTCCGAGCGAATCCGGCGCATGCGGCCCAGTGGGGGAGACGTATGACGACTTCCGTTAGGAAGTTCGCACGTCACGACACGTATTTGTCCTTTTACATCCCGATGGCCTATGTGATCGGTGCTGCTGCGGGTCATTTGACTCCGATGTACCCGACCCATAGGGATGATGTGGAAATCCTGGCCAGCCATCGGTTGATGTCGGACCTCAGGAACTACCTGGTCTCGTCTACGGGGTATGATGAGAAGAAAAGGTTGAGGGAGGCGGTAGCCAAAGTGCAGAAGGCAATCAGTGCTGGACAGTCGGAGCCTCCTGCTCCTTTCCGGGACCCATTCGTCTACGTTAGTGACGATCGGGTGAGGACCGTTCTTGGTGCTCAGCAACCGGAGCCGGTTGATGTGAACATCGAAGAGCTTCAGTCGGTACATCATGTTGCTCCGGGTCCTGGTCCAAAGCAGGAGCCGGTCACCAAGGGTGGAAAAGGAAAAGGGAAGAAGGGCGAGAAGGGTGGTAAGGGCGATAGTCCTTCCGACCCACAACCGAAGTCAGGCGAGGCATCGGGCAAAGGATCTGGCAAGGGCGATAGTCCTGCCGCTCCGAAGGCAAAGGCTAAGGCTGACGCTGGGCCGACTCCGATGGAGGTTGATCCGCCGGAAGGTCAAGCGAAGAAGTCGTGGATCGCGGTAGCGGTCGAAGGAGCTCGACCAAGTGCAAAGGCAAAGGCAACTTCAGCCCCGAGGTCTGAGCCGAAGGGAAAGGGAACTCCGGCTTCTGAGTCGAAAGGCTCTCAAGCTCCGAGGACCGAGCCCAAGGAGAAGACGCGTGGAGACAAGGTTGAGGTCAAGCAGGAGAAGGGGAGCGGAGATGATGCTCCCGGCGATAGCCGGGGCTCAGCCGATAAGCAAAGGAGAGAGAGAAAGTCTCGTTGGGATCATGAGGTGCCTGCTAAGGAATCAACGAAGCGGGAGGCATCGAAGAGACCAGAAGATGTCGACAGCAGGCCAGGTGCAGCGGCGAGAGAGGCAAGTGGAGACGACCTTCACTCCGCGCTTGGTAGGTCTTCGGCAAAGGACGCGGTAGCGCCCCTGACGGCTTCCAAGGCAATGGCGAAGAAGCCAGAGGGGAGCGAAGTCAGGCTGCACTCGGCGGGGCGAGCTGCCGCAAGCCCGGTGGAAGGTCATTTCAAGACGCTACCGGATGCTTCTATGGTGGATGCGTTCCTGGGGATGTCATCCGATAGGGCGCTCAACAGACAGGTGAGAGACTTCATCAGGAACGGCGAAACAAGTTCGGCTTTGGAAGCTCTCAACCAGATCGTGGCGAACTCCCACGCGGGGCGGATACGTCGGGGTACCGATGTTTCCCGAACGCCGTCTAGGAGGTCCGATAGGACACAGGACACTAGGGATTCCCGAGAGTCGAGAAGGCGAAGATATCGACCACGGAGGGACGAGGATCGAGATCGTCGGAGAGACGATCGTCGGGATCATCGGGATGATGATTCGCTGGAACGCGACAGAGATCGACGGAGAGATGATCGCAGGAGATCCGAGAGGGATCACGACAGGGACCGTGCGCGGGGCGGACGTGACCGGAGGAGGCGTGATGATAGCCGGTAGGCTGATTCACGAGGGTTGCGGCCGGTAGGCTTGCACCCGCCCTCCAATGGTCAACGCTGCGGGGTGATGATCACGTTCATCCTGCACCGCTGAGGCGTGTTGTCCATGCCTCTCCTGTACCGCTGATCTGCTGCTGGTGATGGTCACCAAGAAGTAGTGTGAGTGAGCGGGGAAGCAAACCAGTGGAGGGTACTCCCAGGTTTGCAAAATTAGTATTCTATTTCAAGTATGCATGGTCAGGTGTACCTCTCGCCGATAGGCAAGGGTACAGATTGGACAAATGATATCCTTTTTCATGGCTTCTGATAAGAATTAAACTTCTTGCATTTCTGATGCAAACAGTTGTGACCTATTGTCGTCATGTGGACTTTTCCACAAGGTATGTTGGACAGCGTTACCCCGATTAATTCGGGGTGGTGGCGGGAATTTAATGCCCGGGATGTCGCGCGACTGCCTTTGTGGGTTTGCTCCACCGCTGACGGCGGTAGTGTCCAGCTGTTTGCGGACGTATGCGAGCAGTTAAATCCTATCAGTAAATGGCACGCTCCACCCGTCATATGACGGGCTCCTCGTGAGGGGGGTGTGATTAGCCATGGTTTATTTCATCACCAGGGATGTCGCGGTAGTGACTGACCTGTGGTGTTTGGCTCAAGATTTTGGGTTCCGTCGCGCCTCGAATGGGCGTCGCCGAACCCCTGCGTCGACCGACGGCATCTCGGGGGAGAAAGAGACCTCGGGCCGCCGCCAGGTTGGTAGGGACCAGTCGTGCGGCCTGTTGTCGACCAAGGTTGCGGGTTAACCCTTTTCTTGTTTGGTTTGTTTTTCCTTTGGTTGTTGTTCTCTGGTGTGTGGGAAACCCTGATCTTTGGGACCGGGGATTGGTTTGCTTTTGGGGAACCTTTCTTTTGTGGCTTGTTTACCCCAACTAACCCATTGCCTGGGCACAGGCTCGTGCCCGAATCACACCTATGTTCCTCTCCAGGTGACTACCCGCTTTGCCAGAGCTGGCCGTTGCCTTCACCAGAGTGCCCCGGCCGAAAGCGCCGTCCGAATCGGCAAATGGCATCCTCTGGGCTTGTTGAAGGTTCTGCTTTTGGATTGACCGTAGAGGTGTCGTTTGTGGTGCAGTTATGGTTGGTGAGATGCCGTGATGGCTGCTACATTCTAAATCGCAGGTGTTGATGTGTTGTTCAAGTGCAGCTGAGCGTGAACCGACCGTTTGCTGGTCTGGACTTAGATCATTTTCGCGTTTCTTCAAGGCCTCACTGACCTTGAACCGTTTTCCATCCGGACCTGTTTGCACAGGCTCGACCACGATGGCAACTCATGACCCCTTTATGGATTGTGTTTTTGTTTTGCTGTCACCTTCCACCCGCATGTCTGAAGTCAACGGCTTTGGGTTTGCCTTCTCACTTCGTCCCTCACGAGGTGCGTGCACGGCACTTGCATGAAGCCCTTCGAGTGTGAATGCGAGCCGGGATGGAAGCAGTACAAGCCCATCAACGCGACGGGCTTCGACATTTTACCGTCGCTTGGCATGGTTGGTCGAGCAGTTCATTTGGGCTTGAAACATAAGATTATCGTGCATGCCCGCGATAAAAGGGGAAGTGTTCAGAAGGAGAACTTGAACATGTTCGCGGTTAAGACTCACCGACACAGAGCTACATGTGGGATATGCTTCGGCTCCTTGCATTTGCTGAGGGCCTGCGTAAGACATGTCGCTGCTCGCAAGGTTCTGGTCGCAGGGCGAGGACATCTCGCAGGAGACGGCGGGGACATACGTGAAGGCCTGACGTGTCCTCCAGCCTTGAGCTGATTCACCGGTTGATTTGGGCGTTGCTTTCGACTGGCTGTGGTTGAAGCGGCTGGATTTGGGCGTTGCTGGAAATTGGCAATATCGAGGACCCCGAGCCGTCTTTTTGCAGCTGGTGCTTAAGGGCACAGAAGGCCCTACCAACTACTTGTAGGGTTCAAACTCATGTCCGAAAGCACATTCTGGACGCCTGCCATCATACCCGATGCGCCCAGGCTACAACTTTTCCGATCTGGGCTGGCTCTCACCACCATCTCTCTCTCTCTCTCTCTCTTGCTCTCTTCCTCTCTTCCTCTTCCTCTCTCTCTCTCTCGCTTCCTCTCTTCCTCTTCCTCTCTCCCTCTCTCTCTCTCTGTCTCTCTCGCTCTCTCTCTCTCTCTCTCTCTCTCTTCCTCTCTCCCTCTCTCTCTCCGTCTCTTCTGTTGTCTGGCAGGGGTGGCGGGAGAGCGGCAGGTCTGAAGCCAGAGGTCCCTTACGCAACTGATTCAGCTTGCTGCATTCGACGGCCAGGCGGACTCGCGCATCTCCTTCCTCTCCTTTTGGGATCGCGGCTCGGCAAAGCACATAACTCGCAAGGGTCAATCGAGCTCACCCATGCTGAAGCTTCCTCATTTGAGAACTCGTGTTCAAGGTGAATCTCAGAAATCTGAGCAGATTCTTTGATGGGAGTTTCAATCTGCCAGCTGTGGAGAGATTCAGTCTGAAGTACTTGTTTGCTCCGTAGTCTTCATCCAGGGATAGACTCCCGATAAAATAGCCTCCAGATCGACCCATGCAGTGTGATCGCAGGCCAGTACAACTCCTCCAACGCGGCGCAGTGCACAGTGCCAGAGTGCTCCATCATTGTAGACCCTCGATGTGTGGAGTGCGACCCGCCACCAATGCAGAGGCCGCCGTGACGAAGCTAGCCATAGATAGAAGCGGCCGCCATTTGGATTTGACTCCTTTGATACCGTTTTGATGGCTGAGATATGCCTACTTGTCCGGGCTGAATGTCTTGAAGTCAAAGTGTTCCCCAATGGCCAGGTTGCTGTGATGCGTCCTTTCGACATCTTCCAAGAAGGAGTTGCCCAGTTGGAGTTGCCTGCCCCAGGAAATGCCAGAGGTTATCTCGGATGGCAGGTGCTTGAAGTGCGAGCCGGGCTTTTTCGTGGACACCGACATCGACCGCCGGGTCCCCGGGGCTGAGAAATGACACTGAGGGATTGGTCACGGGCTCTGTCGCCGATGTTTCAATTGGATCTTCTTGTATTTGCAAGACCCCTGGCTGTTCTGTCCTGGGCTTCCTTTGCTTCTTTGCTGCTGTCCCAGATCCTCGGCGTTTCGGACAAAGCCTTCCGGATTCAAGATGCTTTGCATTGCTTTGCGCTTCCGCAGGTGTCGTGGTAATTGAAGCATGAGAACCATGTCATTGCAATCGAAGACTGTCGAGTGGCCTCCCGGCATGTCGCTCCCTTGTCGACTCTTCCTCTGAGAGACGCTTGCCTCCGCGCAGCCACTTCTGCGCCCGAAGCAGGTGCGTGCAGAGAAGGCATCGGGGCAGCCAGCCCTTTCAGCTCAGAGTCACTCCACTAAGCCACCCCAGCCCCACCTTCAGCTACCAAGCAGCATCAAAGCCACCACCCCACCCCAAGCTCCGTTTCCTGCTCGCGCGGGTCACCTTGCCATAGCCAAGCTAGGAAAGGATGAAATGAGTGACGGTCGACGGTCCCTTGGTAGCACAAACTTACCCAAACCAGCGAGGCCTTGAAAGCTCATTGACTCAAGGCTCACGTGTTTCCTTCCGCCCACATGTTCCATCCATGGCGCGGGAGCGGGAGGCGCTGTGAACTTGTATCCTGACACATGGCCGTGGGTCAACACCAATGGGATCCCCATTGTCGGGTAGGTGAATTCACCACCTATTTTAGAACCTATTTTAGTGGGGAGTGGGGTGTTCACTGGGGGTACGGGGATTTGACCCATAGCCACATGTGTCGCTTGTAAAAAGCCAGGGTCAGTTTGAACCAATCATTTCGGCTGCACTCCGACTTGATGCTTGCGAGCATAGGTGTCCTTTTTGGTTGGTTTGCTTAAACAACAGAGGGCCCTGGTTTAGATGGTTGATTCTACTTACCAGGGCCATCGATTTTTCCCAAAAGGCCACCTATGCCGCGGCGTCTGCTTTGTTGCTTCGCATAGGAGAAGCTGCAGGGCAGGCCCTCCAGCGTGGGGGACTTCACCCACCCCGGGCAGTTCCAGGCCGGAGACGAGCTGGGGGCAAAAAGGAGGTCAGGAATCCATGGCCTAGCCCTCATGGCCCTTTGCTTCCTTCTTTTGTCTCTTGGTGAGACCAAGCTTGACCCCCAGAGAATAGAGGAAAACGAGGGAAGCGAGGGCACAGGACAGACCAGCTGCGGTGAGATCACAGCCTTTGAGGTCAGCGTGAACTGCACGCGAGAGGGGGATGCTTGTGTATCATTGCAGCCCAGGCAAGCCGCACACTCACAAAGACATGTACGAAAAACCAGGCGTGTCTACAACCTGGCAGCTGGGTTCATGTGCAATTTGCCGCCCATGCTGTGTCCGCTCCTTTCTCTTGCTGACCTATGGCAACACCCCCCCGTCCCCTCAATCTCCAACATCAGGTCCTCACGTCAATTCAGCCCGCCTTTTCGCCCGGTTGGCCTCAGATCCTGCGGGACCTCTACAACGGCCCCGCGGGCTCGGTGCATCTGGCGAAGGTCAAGGCCCCGACCTCGGAGCGGCAGCTCGCGGAGGTGGTCCTCAAGAAGCGCCCCTCGGCTCGGCCTCCTGCGATCCGGAGCCCCTCCCGGCGTTTTTTTGGTGTGGCGCCGGGAGACCAAGGATACCACGCAAGCAAAACAAATCAGCCTGTTGAACCGCAAGCGGAATGCGGTTATGCGGATGCTCTGTCAAGTTGTTTCTTGTTTTGGGGTGCATTGTCAACGTACTTCTTGTCAACGTGCTTCTTTGCCATGCTCTGAGCCAATCTGTTGGTCGCGGTGCAAGGCAAGGTGCCAGAGCTTGGCAAGGCCAAGGACATGCTCAACGAGTATGAGGCGCCTTCAACACCGGGGTTTGCCTGCTGCTTGTTGGTTTGGTGTGTGTGTGTGTGGGTGCGTTGTTTGTTTGTTTCTCTCTCGCGTGTCTCGTTGGTGTGGCCTCGGGTGGGTGGGTGGGGGCGTTGTCGCTGCCCTGCCCTGTCCGCCCTCCCGCCCCTCCCTCCCCTCCCCTTCCTCCCCTCCCCCTCCCCTCGGGCTCCCCTCCCCCTCCCTCCCTCTCCCTTCCCCCTCCCCTCCCCTCCCCTCCCCCTCCCCTCCCTCCCCTCCCCTCCCCTCCCTGCCCTCCCCTCCCCTCCCCTCCCCTCCCTCCACCCAACGAGAAAACAAACAATACCTGCCCTGCCACTTGGCCGCTCCGATGATGCCATATGGATATTGCATGACAAACACCCAACCATGTCTACCCACGTCAAAGAAGACCCTGTAAACACACACGGAGAGACAAAGAGAGAGAGAGAGAGAGAGAGAGAGAGAGGCAGAGAGAGGGAGAGAGAGAGAGAGAGGCAGAGAGAGGGAGAGAGGCAGAGAGAGGGAGAGAGAGAGAGAGAGGGAGAGAGAGAGAGAGAGGGAGGGGGAGGGAGGGAGGGAGGCAGGGAGGGACTTTCCGTCGAAGTTGTTGCTTGAAAGCGCTTTGCCGCGCGCTCCCGAGTGGATTGGGACCTCATTTCTTTGGAGTGGTGCCGGCGCAGCATCCGGACTGGGGGATTGGGCCAGCGCTTCTCGCCAGCCCATCTTCCAAGCGCTAGGATGCTTTGGCACAAGCTTTCATGGCGTAGCCAATGTGGTCTGATTCTAAGCCACTTCCTCAGCCTAGGCTTGTTGTCCTGGGCTGGACCAGGAGGCAAACTGGAGGCTCAAAAGTAACTGTCCCGCAATGTTGGTCTCTTAGTCTATCATCACTCCTGGCCCCAAAGTCTCTTCAAGTGCACCTTGTAGGTTCGAGCCTTCTCGCTTGCTGGGGCGAGACTTCATCACCAGCCCACAGGTCATGAAGAAGCTGAACCATCCGAACATCGTCCGATGCTTCGGCTACTTCTGGGACGCTCCTTCGCAGGTGCTGTACATCGCACCCCGGTGATGATTTGGCCGGGTGAAGAACCTGCACAGATGAAGTAGGTGTGCTTGGGGCGTATTACTTGCAGGCTTTTGTTGAGGGGGGCATGATGCAAACCAGCAGCAAGAGGGCTTGTTGTGTGCTTCCGTTGGACCACTGGCCGACTCTCAAGCACCACTTCCCTCCCCTTCCCGGGGCTGCATGTGACCTCTGCTTGTGGCCACTGGCCTGGAGGTGGCATTTGCATGGTGCCCGAATCAATGGTTGAACTCGCAAAGCCTTTGATGAAGCATTGAGCCTCCGTCTCTCGAATCGTTAGCATGAACAAGGGGTGCTCGTGCCAAGGTTCTGGAGTATGCCAACCGCGGAGATCTCCATGGGGAGCTGCAGCGCCTGAGCTTTTGAAAGACATGGCCATGGGGCGAGCCAAGGAATGGTCGGAATTCCTTCGATGTCCCTTTTGGCTTCCGTTTGAAGCATCAAAGGCATCAACTTTCATGCAGTGACTCAATCTGCGAAGCCCGAGTCGCTTGACGTCGCTGCTGTTGGTGTGACGGCTGTGCATTTTGGCGGTAAGAGAGTGGTCTTACATGGCGGATCGAAAGCGACAGATTTGACCTTGTGCCGTTTGAAGTTCAACATCCCAGCTAGAAGGGTACTGCAACATGTTCTTTTCTTACAATCGGTAGAGGCATCATGTGGGCCTGGTGATGTTTTATATCATACTTCTCTGCCTGGAAGCACACTGAAACTACGAGAGGGTGCGTGCAAACATTTAGTGCAGCTTCTTGTTGGCCATGGGCGGTGCTTTTGGGACAAGCCGACGACCTGTTCAGCCAATCGGGTTGCCAACTTCCTATGACGGCAGACGTCTCCAAGGAACCGGAAGCGTCTGGGTCGGCACTTCGGGGATGAGGAGGTGTGGGACATCCTCGCGCAGGCCCCGTGCTGGGAAAGGGGGCTCGTGAACATTTTGCGAAGCCCGCGCGCGCGCGCGCGCGGCTGTGTGTGTGTGTGTGTGTGTGTGTGTGTGTGTGTGTGTGTGTGTGTGTGTGTGTGTGTGTGTGTGTGTGTGTTTGTTTGTGTGTTTGCTTTTGTTTGTGTGTGCGGTTGTGTTTTAACATGTGTTTGTTGGCTTGATTGCTTGTCTGTCTGTCTGTGTGTCTGTCTGTCTGTCTGCCTGCCTGCCTGCCTGCTTTCTTGCTTGCTTGCTTGCTTGCTTGCTTGCTTGCTTGCAGTTTTTCGTTGTATCGGTGTTGGGTGGGTGCCCGTGAAGACCCGCAATCAGCAGGCCTGAGACTTTCCTGGGAGAGGCCACGTTGCTTGTGATTGCAACCCTGGATTCTAGACGTGTCAGACCCAAACCTGAAACTCGCATGCCAAAGCACAGAGCGCCAGCCAGGTCCTTCTGGGATTGCGCCACGTGCACAGCCGTGGCATCGTGCACCGTGACGTGAAGCGCCACGGCGAAGGCTTAGGGCCAAGGGCGAGATTCGACTTGGCCGCCTCTCATTTCACGGTGTGCGAATTGGGACTGTTGGTTGGGTCATGTTAGGACGCACAGCCACCACGCATAGGAACTAGCCCAAGCAAGCTTGACATGCAAGGATCACTTGGTATTAGCTGAATCGTGAATGACTGCCATTTGTTAGGCATGTTGGGTTTCCAGCAAAGCAGGTGGAGGTCTGAAGCGGGACAAGGACGGACCCCACACCGTGCGGCTGCCAACTTCCAACTCTCGCCACTCAGCCTCGGCCGATGCGGGTGGCCTTTGGGGCTCAGGGAGAGACGTTGCGCGCCCTTTGCAAAGTGATAAAGCCATGGCGGCTGTCCTGAAGGTAACCTACCAGTCCGAGTTCCGCCGTTGCGCCTTGGATGCAGTGGCCTTGACTTTGGACTCGACCGGCCACTGAGCCTTGAAGCAGCACAGCATTTTTCGCGAGGCGCTTGTTTGTGCACGACAAGCGTGCAGGGACCTTCAAGCAGCGTTGCGAGCAGAGACGTCATCAGTGCCATTTCACCCCTCATTCCTCCGGCTGCCGCGCTTTTG